AATAAGGAAAAAAACAAATAGAAACTAGAACAAAATCAAAAAATTTAAAAGAAATGTTAACTCTTAAAAAATGATACTACAGAAATCCCCCCACAACATAATATAATAAGAAAAATATGGAGGATCAAATAGTCACACAGAGCCACTAGTTGTATTATACTTAGGAAAGAATGTACTGACAAAACAATGGCTAACCAAACAAATGTTCCAAACTCAAATTCGGCACCTTGAAACATAGTAAGTTTGGAAATGAAACATTTAGTATAATCCAGTTGAAACGGGTAAAAATTGAGAAGCAAAGAAAAGTGGTAATGTTATAAGTTTAAGGTGCACAACAACCAATAGCCTAGTCGAACTAAACGGCCTTACATAACCACAACACAAACTTTTCATGGGAATGATTTAACACGCTGTTCAAAGAAAAAATCCAGACAAAACAAGATTCGAAACTAAAATGATTTTACTGAGGTAACTTGTCCACAAGAAGAGAAAAGTGGGACTGGGCTTAAAAGTAGGTAATCTCAGAACCGTTAGGTATTTCTCGCAGGGATACCCAGGCATAACTCGACTAACCAAGGATTTTGTACACAAGAAACAAAGGGCGCCACTTTACATTTCCCCAAGCACTGAATTTCGACACGTACGCTGAAGTAAACGTTGTAATGAAGCACAGCCCAGTTCCTCTCGTCTCCAGGCTGAGAGTCCAGCTCGCTATTATGGCTGAGAGCTGTGCCAACGCCACCGCGTCTCTTTCTGGGTTTTGAAATCCTCGCCCCCCTCTTACCCCCACCACTCTGCGCAGCCGCAGCGCTAGTGCGACGCGACGCGAGGCGGGGAGGGAGGGGTGGAAGGGGGAGGGGAAAGGGAAGGGAGGCTCACCGGCACACGCACGTGTTTGTTTCGATTTGAGTTTGTGTGAGTGTATGCGTCTCTTTAAAGGTTTTCCGCTGAAGAGAGCGGCGCGGCGGTCCCCATGGTTGTTTGCGCACCGATCGAAAGCACACGGATTAAGGCTGAGGTTCACTTTCTGTCGAACAACACAACACGAGCGTGTCGTGCCACAGGCCTGCTTAGCACGACCAGTTCTGAATCTTTGCGAATACATCCCGGAGACCCACAACCCCCGTGAGTAGGTATCCGAAGGCGAGCGCCACATGTGATGTGCGGAGGCGCTGCGCCGTGCGGCTGGGCCACCAGCAGCTCCGCCCCGCGTTCGTGAAGCCTATCCTCTGTTCAACAGGCGTTGCGTCGGGTCCACTGCCGCTGCGCGATAGACTCCAGAGCTACTGGCGTTTTTCTTAACCATTCTCTTGCGTAACTGTATTCAAGAGCCGAAATTCAGAATAAAAGTACACGGCACCTTTTAATTGCCCAAATATGTAAAACATATCTTGAACATCGGGACTATGTTTGGTCGGTGAACAGGAGGGGAACAGTCTAACTAATAAATGACAGCAGCAAATTAAGTGATTCCAATTAGGTCAGACGGTCAGACTATGTTCCTAAAATCAACTCTTTCTGTGAAGGTTTTTCTCCCATTCCGAACGGCGGCCGGGGGGCCTCGTCTATCAGCAGCAGACGGGGGCAAGGCTGATAAGGGTTTTAAAAACCTTTCCGATCGCCTCGACTCGCATCGCTCCCTGCAGCTCTTTAAAACGTGCTGGGCACAAAGAAAATAATATCCGCGACACGATCTAGTCTGGCCGCCTCGTGGCGGACGCGCAGCGAGGGGAACAACTGCGATCCACGAGATGCGTTCGATAACGTATGCGTGGCTTTGGGCCCCCCGTCCCGTCGGTGCAGTTGAAGAAGAGCGGGCTCTGCACATTCTGCGCGCTCGCCAGCCTTCAGCCAACGCAGCAGACTCCGCGTTCCCGACGCTTGGCGAGTACGTACACACCCGCCCAAAAGCATCAAAAGGGCTCCGCGCACGTGTCATTGACTCCGCGGGCGGGTCGGGCCCCGGGCCCGGCGGCGACGGGCGCCGCGCAAGGCGAGGGGCGGGGCGGCTGAGGGCGGCTCGCGGGGCGGCGGGGCGGCGGGGCGCGGCGAGGTCGCCGAGCAGAGACAGCTGCACGACGGACTCATTTCACTTTGTAATGGCACCGCCAGGGGCTCAGCGCCGCAGCGCCAGCTCAGCTCGGTATAAGAGGGGGTGGCGGGGACGACCCCCCCCTCCCCCCAATCGGCTCTAGTGAGCCCCCTTAAAGGTAGGCAATTTGTGCCCCAAAACCCGTGTAAGTAGGCAACGCACTGTGCACCGCAGCCCCCCTGCCGCGCCTGCACGGGAGGGGGAGCCACTGGCAGCGGGGGCAGCGGCAACAAACTCTCTCACGGCAAGTGCGCCCGCAGTGCGGCCCGCAGTGCGCTCCCCTTCCGCTTCACATGCTGACCTAATCCCGTATCAGGTGTGTCAATCGCAAATGCAGGATAAGGGAGATCGACGAAGGAAGGAGGGGGGGGGGCGAAGGTGGTGACGGTGGCCACCGCGACTTCGGCTCTTACCGAGAAGTAGTAAGTGCAGTGTGTGTGTGTGTGTGTGTGTGTTTACCAAGCTGCGAGTGTGTCCCACACCAACGCTGCCCGCTTATCAAACAGCGCGAGTGCATTGTGGTACCAAGGAGCAGGCAGTCGTCATTGGGATTCCTTATCACTCTCAGCACTGCATGATGGGAGGTGGCAGCACAAACGGCAGTTAACTACAGAACGCATCGATAAAACGCATTGAGAAGAAAATGATTGTTCTTCCAATCAACAACAGCGGACCAACTTACTTTGGCCTACGTGACTGTCGCTAACGCGACGCGTCTTCCTGTTCCTGTAGCCTTTATCAGCATTGAATATTTTTCCTTTTTATTTTTCCTTTGTCGCGAAAGTAGACGCCTTATCTGTGAAACAGGGTGGGGAGCTTGTAGGAACTTGCCTCGGCCTGGGCTGGGCCCGTCTCCACCAGGTCTCCACAACGATGGGACCCTACTCCCCCCACCTCGGTCAGAGGAGAAAAGAGTTCGCACCTTTGTGATAAAGAGCCAACACGGGGTCCGGGTAGGCGTGGAAGGTGCGGAAAGGCCAGTAAAAATGCAAATAGCTGTTGCGCGCAATGCGCGAGCCTTTTAAATAAAAACCCAAGAAGTGTAAAGGGGCCTATTTAAAAGGACTGCTGATGGGCGGCGATCAGCTGATTCCATCGCTCCGGGAGGGAGCCCCCCCCCCTCCTTGCCCTATGCCGACGGGCCACGGTGCCACGCCCCCGCCCGCCCGCCTCGGTCGAGCCCAGGCTACCTGGCACCTTCCACCTTACACCCACACACACTGCACGTAGTATGCATGTATTCCGATTATAAACTAGATACTATAGCGGAAGTAGAACGGGAGGTCAGAGTGCAGACGACAATCCCACCCACACGCAGGCCGAGCCGCGATACTTCCGAGTTTCCGAAAGCTATCGCAGGCATTATGGGTGCGGAGCGGTGGTGGTGTTGGACGACCGGACGCGACGCGCACCGCCTCACCTGTCGGGCCGCATCCGCGTCGGCCGCGCCCCTCCCCCGCGCCCCTCTCTCTCTCTCTCTCTCTCTCACTCTCTCTTACAGCGCGCCGTACGCCCCGACGCGCGACGCGCTCCGTCGTATCGTCCAGGCCGGGTAGGCCGAGCGACAAGTGGAATGTGTCGCACAGGATGATGACGGGGCACAGGGTGGAGGGGCGAGGCTCGCAGGGGCGTGCCCTGTTGCGGGCTTGAACAGATTGTACCGCTTGCACCGCTTGCACCGCTTGCTCGGCTTGCACCGCTTGCACAGCTTGCAGTCGCAGCTTGCTCCGCTTGTGCCACTCAGAATCGGTCCCGGCCCCTGCTGCGTATGCAGTCCCGGATGGAGACGTGCGAGCGGGTTGCCGCATAGAGTACAAAAGTGCGCATCGTGACGTGAACCAGACACCCAGTATCCCAGTACAGCACGAGTCCGGAGTGTGTTACTGCAACTGTTGTACACATATGGGGACAAAAGGGAAGTTTGATAAATGTGACTCTCTCGCCTCAGTTCCGCCCTGCGCCTCGCGTCGTGAAATCACTCGCCATTTGCCTTGATCCCACCCAACCCCCAGCCCTGTTGAGGGCTCGACCCCTACCCCTACCCCCCAGGCGCCCTCGCTCATTTCTTCAATGACGGACAAGGTGAAGAGTCACCCCTGTTTGCCGTGCAGATACTCTGCAAAACCCAAGTGTCCATGATGTGTCTTTCTGCTTTCCACGCGAAATTTTTACTGAAGAATAAGTTCTGTGCACCTCGCTCGCCGAAAGTGCCAAACACACACCGCACCTCCTCACTCTGCAGACAGCTCAGTCAGCTCAGCCCGCTCTCTACGGCCGCAACCACTATGGGAGAGATTGCGATCAACCCGAGCGAACGGACGGAAATTACGTGTCGTTGCGCGCCCGTCCAGTCTGCAATGCGGGGCCTCCGGCCGGGCCTGGCCCGCGGCAGCTGTCAACCCCTCGACTCTCGACGCGACGCGACGCGACGGGCCGGCGAACAGGGCGGGGCGCCCATTGTGGCAAATCACCGGCAACAGTCACGGGGCACCGCAGGCACGGCCACCACCGGAACCACCTCTGGTTGGGCGGCACGGCAAAACCAGGCAAAACCACCTCAGCCGGCAGCCTCCTATCCTCCTCCTCGGCACCCTGCTCCCGGTGCGCCTCCACACCGGTGCGCGGCGCCCGCAGCGGTGCACCGTCAGCGACCGGCAGGCGTCCCGGCGCCACCCTCGCCCACCGGCGCGTGCAAAGCAGCTGAGCTAGCGCGCGCGGCGCGGAGTACGGGTCAATGCCTTCCCGGACCCCGCGCGGGGAAGCAGCGGCCTCTCCCAGAGTTCTCCCCCTACACACATCCAGCGCGCCAGGAAGGGCATCCTTTTAAACGCGGGGATAGCGGGCGCGACCGGTCTGGAGTTTAAATGGACGCGCGGGCCGAGGTTGCACCCGCGAGCTCCGCGTGCAGTGTGAATGACGCGATGTGGCAACGCAGCCGCGGGCCGCGGCGCTCTGCGATCGGCCGTCGCAGAGCTCGCGGTGCTCGCGGTGCGGCACGGTGAGGGAGCGGGGAGGGGGAGGGGGAGGGGAGGGTGTCATAATGAACATGAGGGAGAGAAGGGTGAGTGGGGAGGGGGAGGGGCTGGCTGGTGGCCGGCTGCCTGCATTATACTACAGTATGTACTGTCTCTACCAGAGAGCAAAGTACGAGGCAAAAAAGTGCCCCCAGATGGACAGGCTAAAACTCGACCGGAATAAGAGAAAGACAGGTTCCTCCACCTCCACCGCTCCCTGGTGCAGTCGCGGTTTTAAGTCCTGCTGACGGAAGGGGACGATTATCTGTGGGTTGCCTATTTTCAGGGGTTTCGTAGGACAAATTGCCTACCTACCCTAGGGGGTGATTTAGCTGACCCA